AGCCTCTGCTCAGCCCTGCCTCCTGTCTCTCCTCATTGGCTCACTAGTTGTGATTGGCAGCAGCAGGAGTCTTTGGGGAGGGAGTGTCCCTGGAGAGCCGAGGCTCTCTTGCACATTACTGGATCACAGTGGGGCTTGGGTAAAATATTAGGGGGGAAGGGGGATGCTGCACACAGAAGGTTTTTTACCTTCATGCATAGAATGCATGAAGGTAAAAAACCTTTCAGCCTTTACAACCATTTATTAAAATAGGTGGTTGTAATAAATACATGCAGAGTGTTTTCTCGCTCTGTCACACAACCCTGAGCTCAGCTTTTGCTGTGTTGGTAGGGAGAAAGAAGTACATGTTCATGTGCAGGTTTTGTAAGAGCCAGAGGGCTTGTTTGGCCCCTTTTTCATATGGACGTTCTAATCCGGTCTGCCAATCGGAAACCTCTGTGCTTCTCTATGGAGCGCTTGGTGTAAATTGATGTGTCCGTTTACACCCGCCGACATACAATTCGATCCGATCCTTCAAAATGTCTGCTCCCCTTCCATCCATCGGATCGGATGGCACTCAGATGGAAATGGACCGCCCAGAGAGGACAGTGGGCTGTGTCCGTGTCCACTACGTATAAGTGGAGCGGACACAGACTTGTCATCTGCTTGCTCAGCAGGAATGAGCAGACACGTCCCCAGCTGAGCAAGGAGACCCACTGATGGGTCCGCCCCATGTGAAAGGGGTCCCACTGTGAAGCTGGGAACACGTGCACTCAATGTCCAGTGCCTCCAATTTCATAAGCAGGACTGATAAAGGGAGATGGGGGGCAGGGTGGACCACCTACCTTGGAATTATTTAAACATGCTTGGGAGAGGCTATGCATGGCCTACAGGTATATTGAAAAGAGCTTCCTTTCCCAACAAGTAATCAAAAAGCCAATGTGTTTTGGGGACTGATCCTACCCCTAACCCCCCCCCCCGCTTTGATCAGGTCTTGAGTAGAGAGTTTTCTGCTTGAGAACAATAGAAACATGATTTTAAAAGCTTGAGATTCGTATCTGTCAATGTGACAGGATCACATGCTGTCTCTATCATTTTGCAATTGATATCCAGTACAAATCTGTATTTACTACCAGCACACAAGCCCTGATAAAGGGGAAGTTTTGCCCTCTGAAAGACACATTCACTTTTTGATTGCTTGTTCTTACTAAACTAAATAAAGCTTTGTGGTGCTTTCATCCCTCTAGTGCTCTACTGGTGTTGGTTCTAGAAATACTTATGCACAGTGTACAATTTAGCAGTTTCAACCTCTCTGCCTCCATCCTTGATGTGCATGTAGTGGCTAAGATGTTTGGTCATGTTAATAGTAAATTCTGCCTAGTTCAGTGAGTTAGGAGTAGGCAGCAGAGCACATCTGGAATAGCAGGGCTAGAAGTATTAATCCAGCCTACGCACCTCTACTCCAGGTTCCCTCATCAGTCTGTGCCTGGCTTTTAGTGCAGTGCCCGTTACTTTGTTTTATCTCGTTTGATTTCATTGGAGGGAGATTGGTATCAGAATTTTAAGTGGACTCTTGTATGTTGTAATGTTCCTTACTCAAAACTGCATTATTCATTTTGGGTGAAAGTTTGAGTTTCATGTTTTTTGAGAAAAAAACTGGTTTTATTTTGACTTATTTGTTTTTAGTTCTAAAACTAACTAAGATTTTCTGTTTTAGACTAGATATGTCTTTCCCTGGTTTGTGATGTCACCTCTACCAAAGATGTTAGCCCAAAGCTGCAGTGCTGTGTCATGGGTACTGAAAATGGCCTAGCAGTGTATGGGGTTTCAGACTGGGCACACATGAGCCCCTCAAGTGCACTTTGGTAAGCATTACCCTAATATTTATCTACAGCTACAAATCACTAGATTATCATTATTCAAATTATAGGCAGTAATGTTTTATATCCATTTTTTAATATGCACTAAATTCACAATTGTTTTACAAATAAACATTTTAGCACAGTGGCTAATTGGTTAGCACTTCTGCTTGGCAGTACTAGGATTGTTGGTAGGAATCCCAACCACGGCACCACCTACCTGGAGTTTGCATGTTCTCACTATGCCTGTGTGGGTTTCCTGTAGGTACTCCGGTTTCCTCCCGCACTCCAAAGACATGCTGGTAGGTTAATTGGATCCTGTCTAAATTGGCACTAGTATTTGTATCTATGAATGTTAGGGACCTTAGATTGTACGCCCGTTGAGGGTTAGGGACTGATGTGAATGAACACTATATATGTAAAACGTTGCGTAAATTGACAGAGCTATATAAGTAAATGTAATAAATAAATAAAATACATGACAAATGATTCCCAGATCCCTATGGGTTAGCCAAAGAGACAGTGTAAGCACAGTTACTTCCCCTTCAGGTCCGTTGTTTCTCATTAAAATTGCAGATAGAACTGTCTGGTATGGGATGAACACTCATCTGGCTCATTTACTTGTGGGTAAATGTCACTTTGAGCTATTGATCCCTGTAAATAACTAGCTTTTTACAAAAAGTAAGAAAGAGCAGGAAAATGTAAAAAGGATCTGAGAGCTTCACCTTCTGGTTGCTAAAATGGTTTGTGCTGACAAATGCAAATTTTGATGGTCTGTAAATTGAAAGCAGAAATAATGTCGGTTTTAGCAAAATTGCTAGCAGGTAGTTTTATTATGGCAAAAGACACATTGTATGTGTCTTCTGCCATAAAAGTTTTCTCTCCTTCCTGTTAGTATTTTTCTTGTTATTGTACACTGTGCCACACATGCACAGCTCAGTGCAATATCTTCATGTAACATCATGAAATGATGAAGCATCAGTGAATCTAAAAAAAAAACAAACAAAAATAAATAAACCATGTTCAATATGCCAGATGTGAAGTCTTTCTTAAATCAAAGTCCACATATACTCAGAGGAAAAAGATCTCCCACCATCCAGCAGATGCTTGTAGTGTAACGAAACACCAAGTGCCACCACCTTATCCAGTTTCACACTCACCAGATCATAAACTGTAACAGGTACAGCAGACACGGCATGTTTCTCAGGCATAATTCCTCCCCAGGTGTGTGAACTTCCACTCTGGAATCATTCCACTTAGACAGCAGCAAAAGGCAACTCCCACTAGAACCAATCTCACCAATGAGCCAACAGAAAACCAATGATAGCGTAGTAGTGTAAATAAAGATTTATTGTCATTCAGTTTAAACAATGTGACAGCTAAAAACCAGTAAAAACTCACTTAGAGAGCCGCTGACAATCCAAAATCGCACAGCAGCGTGACATCAGCACTGAGACTCTGGGCGGTGGGAAATGCATACACCTGGGGAGGATTTGTGCCTGAGAAACATGCTGTGTCTGCTGTACTTATTACAGCTTAAGGTCTGCTGAATGTGCATTTGATTGAGTTGGTGGCACTCAGTGTTTTCATTACAGTACAAGGATCTACATGATGGTGGAAGATCTTTTTTTATCTGAATATATATGGACTTTGATGTAAGAGAGGCTTCATGTGGCACTTTGAACACTGTTTATTTTTGTATGTTTTCGTTATATTCACTAGCACTGCATCATTTCACGATATTGTACATTTTTAGGTTTGGGTATATCAAACTTTGCCAGAAGCCAAACATCTTATCACATCGCAAATTCATTACAATATGTTTATTATAACATTTTCGCACGGGTGGCAAGACAAAGTAACGCCTGTGCGCATGCAAAGGTATGTCATCCCTGGCTAACAGGCGCCTGAAAACCTTAGACCTGGAAAAGGATTGGCAGTAGATGTTGATGGCAGGGATGAAAGAACGAGGGGGCACCTTCGACATCACAGCATGGAGGAAGGCATCTTGGGAGGTAAGAGTGCCATAATGTGCAAATATGCTGTGCATACTTGCATATTATATCAAGACCTTTGGGGGCAACAAACATATTCACTTGTCCTTTATGTCATACTATGATCATGCCTGCTGTTGTAAGTGCTCTCAGGATGGCACATTAGAACTACAGGAAAACTATATAGTTTAGTATGGTTAAGAATTTTTCTTTCTTTTACTGTCATTCACATTGTTTTAGCAACTGTTGTTTATTGAGCAGCTGTCTATTTACAAGTAGAACCATGTGAATTCTTAACAGCTGTCATGCTCTTAGCTCATACCACCATGTGTGCAAACATGTTTTCTTTTAGGTATTAATGTAATTGTATTATTAATTTATATTGTAAGTTCAGGACCTCAGTCTAATGCCAAGTACAGTTGGTATGGGTGCTGACTATATGATCGATTCCAAATCCCCTGCACATTTCACGCACAAATGGCACCACACACTGTTATCCTTGTGCCTATAGATTTACCTCAGGTGACAGTGCTAACCCCATCAGTTATGTCTTACAATAATAAAACAGTATCACCATACAGGTTATCGTGAAAAGGAACTAAATCATTCAAAAAGCCCTCCAAACGAATCAATGTGTAGCACAGTAAAGCCTTCTTACAACAGAAAATATTCATACGTCTTATTCCATCCAAAAAGTAAGAAAATTATTCCTCATTTTCATGGCCATGGAGGGAGGAGGGGTGTGTTGTTCAACTTCACAGCTGGTCTCAGACAGCGTGTAAGAAGAAAGGACAAGGTACTACATGTAGGATGGCCCCCGAGGAACAGAACACATTCTTAAAAATTAAAGTGAGATTTCTTTTAATCATCGTTTATTCATATGGCACTGAACAAATTTATAAACGGTTAAAAACGTTTGTTTAAAAATAACTTTACATAAAGTATAAATAAATTCAACTGGCTGTTTTGTCAGGTTTCAGATTTCCTAGGTTATGCACTTGAGGGCATTAGCAGTCCACATTTATTGTTTAAAAGTAATTGAATTCAAACTCTGAATCTATTTTAGTTTGTATTTGGTTGTAATCTAATCTTTTACACTTTGGTTTTTGCCATAGGATGGAAGGTACAAACCTATAAGGGATCTTGTGCTTGAGGCTGTACACTGAAGATGACAGCTGAAAATGAGACATGCATTGCTGGCCCTTCTCTTACCTACCTGACCTGCCTTGTGCAGTTGCTTCTGGATTGGTTGGGACTTGAGAATTTGGAAGATTACCTGAACTACTTAGAATACCTCATGTGGGTCTTCACACCACTGATAATAGTATTCATACTGCCCTTCCTCATTGTCATTTTTCTCTACCTCTCCATCCTCTTCCTCCACGTATACAAGCGCAAAAATGAACTGAAAGAAGCTTATTCCAACAATATATGGGATGGCGCTCGGAAAACATTGGCGACACTGTGGGATGGGCATGCTACAATATGGCATGGTAAAAATTGTTAGAAGTGCTATTTCTGTTACCCCCTGGGGCCCTTCTACAGGCTCCTTTGTGTATCAGCACAATCCTTTTATTTTGTTGGGCTTTGAACCACAGTCAGGTTTCACACACAGTGCTGTTGTATGAGAAAACTGATATTGTGGCTTATTCCTTGAGATGTATAGTAAAATTTGAATGTACAGCTTTAGACAACAGTGTACAGGGTGTGTCAGATCATCCTGCATGGCAGACAGAAGGCTTGGAAGCAGTGTATGTAATAGATATATATACACCATATTGCCAAAAGTATTGGGATGTCTCCTTTTACACGCACATGAACTTTAATGGCATCCCAGTCTCAATTCATAGGGTTCAATATTGAGTTGGCCCACCCTTTGCAGCTATACCAGCTTCAACTCTTCTTGGAAGGCTGTCCACAAGGTTTAGGAGTGTGTCTATGGGAATGTTTGACCATTCTTCCAGAAGCGCATTTGTGAGGTCAGGCACTGATGTCGGACGAGAAGGCCTGGCTTGCAGTCGCTACTCCAATTCATCCCAACAGTGTTCTGTCGAGTTGAGGTCAGGACTCTGTGCAGGCCAGTCAAGTTCCTCCAACCCAAACTCGCTCATCCATGTCACTATGGACCTTGCTTTGTGCACTGGTGTGCAGTCATGTTGGAACAGAAAGGGCCATCCCCAAACTGTTCCCACAAAGTAGGGAGCATGAACTTGTCCAAAATGTCTTGGTATGCCGATGCCTTAAGAGTTCTCTTTACTGGGACTAAAGGGCCAAGCCCAACCCCTGAAGAACAACCCCACACCTTAATTCCCTCCTCCACCAAACTTTACACTTGGCACAATGCAGTCAAGCAAGTATCGTTCTGGCAACCGCCAAACTCAGACACGTCCATCGGATTGCCAGATAAGAGAAGTGTGATTCGTTACTCCAGAGAACACGTCTCCATTGCTGTAGAGGCCAGTGGCGGAGTGCTTTATTCCACTGCATCCGACGCTTTGTATTGCACTTGTTGATGTAAGGCTTGGATGCAGCTGCTCGACCATGGAAACCTATTCCATGAAGCGTTCTACGCACTGTTGTTGTGCTAATCTGAAAGCCACTTGCAGTTTGGAGGTCTTTAGCTATTGACGCTGCTCTCTGTTGGCGACTTCTACGCTCTGTGCGCTTCAGCATGTGCTGACCCCGCTTTGTCATTTTACATAGCCTATCACTTTGTGGCTGAGTTGATGTTTTTCCCAGTTGCTTCCACTTTGTTATAATACCACTAACAGTTGACCGTGGAATATTTAGTAGCAATATTTAGTAGCAAGGGAATGTCACAGATGGACTTATTGCACAGGTGGCAGCCTATCACAGTACCATGCTTGAATTCACTGAGCTCCTGAGAGCAACCCATTCTTTCACAAATGTTTGTAGAAGCAGTCTGCATGCCTAGGTGCTTGATTTTATACACCTGTTGCCATGGAGGTGATTAGAACACCTGAAGCACATGATTTGGAGGAGTCCCAATACTTTTGGCAATATAGTGTGTGTGTTTTGTATAATATATATTCACACACACATTGTGTAGGACTCAGAAATTCAGTTTTTTTTTCCTGCATTGTTTCCTCTATCTTGTTAAGAAAACAGTATAGCTCTTGAAGTAGTCCTGTATTGTCAATCACAGCACCCAGAAAAGATAGAAGAATCTTGGTTTTCTATAAAGAAAAAAAAAATGAGACAAAAACTGCAAGTTACAGAACTCATACAGTCAGAAAAATACCTTGGCACATGTATGTAAGGCCATCTTTCCCTCGGCCATACTGATGACAAGTATAAAGATTCATAGAGGAGAGTTTAAACTATTGAAAACATGATATACGGCCTAATATAAACAAAACCAAAGTTTTGTTAACGTTTTTCTTGAGTGAACCCATCTTCTTCAGGACAAAGTTAAATATGGTTTTTACAGATCATCATGGTATAATGTCCATTCATTTTGTTTTTTCCAGAGGCTGCGATTGATAATGCATGACAACATCAGTTGTACTGTTTTCTGAATATATCATTAAGAGGTGATCCACACAGCACATGAGAGTCTGATGATTCCCTGCTTTTCCAATTTTGGATGTTTTTTTCCTTGTATCTGACCACACTGTTAACCAGAAGGTAGCTTCAGATTCTGTGTGGTGACAATTTCATGTTTTCCAGCACAAAGTTTTGGTTAGTTAGTTTGGTTACTTATTACCCTTTTTCTGTTATTTTAGCCCAAAAAGTCAAAATAAGAATGCATAAAACTAATTTTCAGTTTAGGATTTTATAGAAATGGATCTGAACTAAAATTAAATTTTCCGTCCACCAATGGATTTTTGTTAGTATATCTACCAAAGTTAAAAAAAAATTCCAGTGCAGAGAACTATTGAGATTACATGCTAAAAACTCTCAGTGGAAGCTGGAAAACCTGATATTCCTAGGAATCTACAATGTTTGCCTTTAAACTTGCAGCTGCATCTACTGCAAGCTAGATAAAATAATTGCTCAGAACAACTTGAATGGTGTCAGTTAGGTCAGTCATCCGTCCAATATTGAAGACAGGTGTTTGAGAATGGCTGCCTGCTTTACAGTTATCAGTTTGGCAAGTGAATAGTGTAGATTGGTCATTCTTATCCAGGGCTCCTCCATAAGTTGATAGGAATTCCTTGAGCTGTGACTGAATGACCTCTCATCTGACTGCTTGCATAGTTCTGTGGCCATATGCCACCTGTCAGAACCAGTGGCATGGCACCAATGATCTTTTTAGCTATCTGTAAAACTAGCATTCTGACCACCACTATATTAGGGGCTGTCTTCTCACTGATTACTGATATATATGGTTATTTTCCCAATAAATCTGTTTTGGAAGGGATTCCTTGAAACCCTAAAATTATTTAAACAGAGTTAAAAGGTTGAGACAGGCTGGTGGGGATGAAGACATATAAAAGTAGCATTTGTTTATAGATATAAAAAAACATTATATACACTTTTATTTTTTTTTTTACTATTTTTTTTTCTATAAGTGATTGCATAGCCTCTGTTCTCAGCTGCATAAGAGCTGGGGAGGAGAAACAGCAGCATGCCGATCTTTCCAGTGAATGGCTGTGCAGGGAGGGGGGTTGTCAGGACAAGATTGATTAGTGGAGCAGAGCAGGCTGAATTCCCAGCATAGCTAGAGAACTGACCACGGTGTGTTCTCCTGCTTATTGTGTTCAGTTTTTAATAGGAAATCAGAGGGACTGGCAGGAACACCTGGGATTTCACACAAGTGAGGCAATACAATGAGAACAGAATATGGTCTCATACAAGTACATGGTACAGCAGGCACAAATCGGGAATACAAAATGTTGGGTTTAAAGGATAAGTTCACCTTTACAAAAAAAAATGCACATATTTTTGCAGGTAAAAAAATGTGCATTTATTATTTTTTTGCTTGGGGAGCCTCTAAAGCATTGCACCAGCGATCAGCAGTTAACATGAAGAGTACTTAAGAAATTGAATTTGCCTTTAGTAAATAAACCCCATTATTTTATGTTAGCAGTACCTCCCAACTTTAAGAAACATGCAGGCATGTTACAACAGTTAATTCACTGGTTAAACATTCTGCATTCACAGATAAAAAATGGGGAACATCAAAGCAGATTTACAGAACATTTTTTTTGTTGTGTGGCACAGTGTAGATAAAGGGATTGCATTGATAGAGTACCTAAATTGTTTTTGTTTTTTCTTGGATGCTGTATCCGAAAGGTAAAGCCCAGTAGTTGTGACAAGGTCTTTTTATTCAATTTCTCCAGTACCTTTCATGTTAACTGCAGAAACAAACCCTATTTTATTCTGTCTCTGCGTGGTTTAAATACATAAATCTATAGTACGTATATTTATAATGCATTTGTAAAGCTGCATGGTTTGTTAATACTGTAAAGCCTGTATTGTATTCTCTTTCTGCACAGGTTATGAAATATATGGTTTGGAAAAGATCCCTGATAGCGGCCCTGCATTAATTGTGTACTATCATGGCGCTCTTCCCGTGGACTACTATTACTTTGTAGCAAAGGTCATTCTTCTGAAAGGAAGAACATGTCACTCAGTTGGGGACCACTTTCTTTTCAAAATACCAGGTAAATAATCACATGCTGCATCTGAGCATGATCCACTAAATAACTGCCTTTTAGTAACTCCAAGAACCAAATTACCTGTTCATTGTGTAACTTTAAAGCAAACTTTTGACAAATAAAAACAGCAGCTGGTAGCATACAGAAGAAGTGGCCACCTTGCACATTCTACTGCAGAAGTATCGCCAGCCATTTCTTTATTTCCTGCTAGTGGATACTCGGTCTACCTTATTGCCTCTATCCCATAATACAATGGTCTTGGCATCTTGGAATAAACAAAGTAAAGCAGTTTTCTTTAAAGGAGAACTCAAATATAAGTCCAGGGTCCCTTTTGTGCTGAATTGCCTTGTGATATTTTTAATCAACTGGTAATACCTTAAAACCTTGATTTTCTTCAATATATCAGTCCTGCTACTGTAATAGTACACTTTTTTTTATTTTTTTTTCTTTGGAGGATCAACAACGTCCAAGATAACTCACATAACATATAAAAGTTATTCAGCGCTTTGTGTACTGAGATTTTTCTTAATTTTGTTTATATACTTTGCTCTTCTTTTATCTTTCAGAGGGTAATCCTGGTCACTAGAGACCATAGGGCATTTAGTAGAAATCAGCCAAAGACTGCAAATATGCACAATCAGAATTTTTGTCCAACCTGCCACTTGGACGATGGCTGGTCTGGCTTATTCTTTAGTCAGACAGTACCTCTGAAGGGACCTACTTGTACCTCTTAGGGGAACTCTGAAATTACTGAAGCACCTGTGGATGTTTGTGTATACCTCATTGATTCAATCCACTCTTCATCTTTGGGCCATACATTATACAATTTTCTTGTACAATTTTCCTTTTTAGATTTACCAAAACCATATAATATGAGGTCAAACCTAAACCCTTTCATCTTGTATGCAATTAGGCAGGCCCTTGTACTACATAGTTGAAGGTAAATCTAAAAGAAATTGAGTAAGAAAATTGTATAATGTATGGCCAGCTTAGCTGCTCCTTCATTCGTATCAGTTTGCCTAAAAACATGTTCCAGCTGGACACAAAACACCAATTCCTTTATCAATTTTTTTTTTTGCAACACAGTGTCATTTAAAGCTGAACTCAAAACAACTGCTAAATATACCATTAAAATACACATCTGTTTTACGTGCCAAAAGAGTCGTATTTTCGGTCATCGGATTTACACAGCCCTGCCAGGCAGCAGTCTGTTTTTGTCTTTTGTCTACTGCAGTTAAGCAATACCCATGGTGACCTCCCTCTCCCAGCCTGTAATTGGTCAGTAAGGCCTCATATACACATGAGCTCACCTAGTCGTTAAACTCTCCTGCCAGCAGAAAAAACGCTAAACACAGCAAAAACACATGTAAACATGGTACCGCGTTTAGCACTTGCACACTTATTTTTTTGATTGGCCAGAGTATTTTCCATTGACATGGATAAATGCTAAACGAGGCTAGAGTTTAGACCCGTTTACATGCGCTTTTGCTGCGTTTGGCTTTTTTTTGGCCAAAACGTTCCTCTTCTGAATGCAATTATTCTGCGTTCACAAAAGGAACGTTTAACTGCCCCTAAACTCTGGTAAAAGCCTATGTGTACATGGACACATTGGCCTTTTCTGAGTTGAGTTCAGGGGCTTTGGCAAAAAAAAAAAAACGCCAGTGTACATGAGGCCTAAAGGAGCATCAGCAGACTCATGAGGTCATCCCCTTGTTCTCTCTATCAGCATGTTCCTCGTCAACATATGTGCATTCACTTGATTAACCCCATGTGCTGTCCCTTACTCTCCCAATCTGAGTGCAGCTTTATAGGAAATTACAAGGAGTTGAAATCAGGTCATATATTCAGGTATTCTTTATTTCATATCTGCTGGCATTTAAAGTGGTTCTAAAGGTAAAAGGTTTTTTTTTTTTTTTTTTTTTTTATTTTACCTTTGTGCACTCCCCACATTAAGGGAAAAAAGTTTTACCATTTTCATCGATTCCCCCCCCCCCCCCCCCCCCCTAAATACTTACCTGAGTCCTGTATCAATCCAGCGCTGTGCTCAATGGATGCACTGGCCCCATGTTAAGCGCTTACTTTGAGAACCGATATAGAAGTGGAGGAGCCAAGATCACTGACAGGGGACCCCAGAAGAGGAGGTTCGGGGCTGTTCTGTGCATTACCATAACACAGTGCAGGTGAGTATAACTTGTTTATTACTTAAAAAAACATTTTAAATATATCTTCGCAAAAGCTTTCACTTTCAATAACTTTGTTTATAATTTCAGATGTCATTATTTTCAAAAAATATTACTAGGGTTGAGCTCGGGGGAGTTTGGATACTAGTCTATGACATCAGGAAGCTTTCACTGTGGACTTCCAATCATATGTGACTGAAGCATTCCCCGCCCTGCATTTGTACATATACAAGGGGTGTGTATATGCAGGGCAGGGAGTGCCTCAGTCACTTATGATTGGCAGTCCACATTGACATCTTCCTGATAAGATTGTTCAGGTGGGTTCAGCCTAGTATCTGATCATTCCTGAGTTCATCCCAAGTTATTTCATATTATTTGATCTAAAAGACATGATCCCAACATAGTACATATGCCATCTCTGCTATTTCATTCAGGTTTTAAACCACTCCTTGACGTATTTAGTGTAATTCATGGACCAAAGCAAGAATGTGTGAAAGCACTCAGGAATGGCCACCTACTGGCTATTTCCCCAGGAGGAGTACGGGAGGCCTTGTTTAGTGATGAAACCTACACCATCATGTGGGGGAATCGTATAGGATTTGCACAGGTTGCAATTGATGCTAAAGTGGTGAGTTTAAATATGAATGCAGTCCTCCTTATATTGCATGGATCATTTAAATGTATCCCATACATAATGTTTCATTAACTTGTGGCATATATTGTATGTAAAAGTAGCCAGCCATCCTTATATTAGCTCATGATTAATTAACAACCAACCACCCCCACTCTTAATAGTATAAATCTAGAGCACCTTTATGGGGAAGCACTTTGTTCGGGGGGAACGTTGCTGGGGCTCTTTCCTTTGATTCTTTCTAGAAATGATTCTTTATACACGTGATTACTGTCTCCCACCTCCTCTCACTCCTACCACCTAACAATTGCCTGTAGAAACCTTCGCCACCTCAACCCTTCTATTCTCTACTCTACTACTGACTGACCTCCTCTATGACAAAATATCATCCCTGTCCTACCCGGATCTAGCCATTTTTGTCTAAAACAGTTCACCGTCATCCTCCCTAGACAAGCTCAACCCCCTCACTACTTACACAGTCAGGCCCTGACCCCTACAACCTTGACAAACATGACACCAGAGGTTTCAAAAAACATGCTCTTGAGCATCTGTGGCGTAAGTCTCAACCAATATAAATCTGCCCTCCAGAAATACTATTCCTGCCTCCACCATGCCAAGCAGACCTATTTCATTACTCCCATTAACACCTCATCCAATCCCCATCAACTCTTTTCTCCCTTCAACTCTCTTCTTCATCCACTAGTCACCCCCTATACTTTAAAAGCCCTCACTAGACTCCACAAATCTTAACCTACAACCCATCTCCTTACTCCCCTTTGCCTCCAAACTCCTTGAACGCCTCTTCTGCAATCAGTTGAGCAACCACCTCACTGAGAATAACCTTGATCCCCTTCAGTCTGGATTTCGCTCTCAGCACTTCACAAACTGTTCTCCTCAAACTTACAAATGATCTACTAATGGCTAAAACCAATGGACACTATTCTGTACTCCTACTCCCGGACATCTTTCCTGCCTTTGAAACAGTGCACCACTCCCTCCTGCTCAAAAACCTTTGGTCTCCATGACTGTGCTCTCTGTTGGTTCTCATCCTACCTATCCCACTGCACCTTCAGTGTCACTTACAATTCTACTTCCTGTTCTCCTATTCCTTTCTCCGTTGGGGTTCCCTAAGGTTCTGTTTTGGGACCCATCCTATTCTCAACCTACACCTCTGGGACAGTTGATTGCCTCCCATGGCTTGCAATTCCATTTCTATGCTGATGACAACCAAATCTATCTATCCTCAACTCGCTCCATCAGTCTCGTCATGCATCACTAATCTACTAACAGACATATCAGTCTGGATGTCAAACCACTTCCTGAAAATTAATGTATCCAAAACTGAGCTCATAATATTTCCTCCCCCTACATGCCCCTTCCACTGACTTCTCTGTCAAAATCAACGTCTCAACCATCAACCCATCTCCACATGCCAGGGCGCCAGCTGTAATCCTGGACTCTGAACTATCCTTTCAGCCCCACATCCAATCGCTTGCCACCTCAACCTCCACACCATTTACTATGCCCCTTCCTAACCAATGACACCACAAAGCTTCTAACTCACTCCCTGGTCATCTCCCGCCTTGACTACTGCAACTCCCTCCTCACTGACTTACCTTTGCATAGGCTATCCCCCCTACAATCCATCATGAATACTGCTGCCAGAGTCATCCACCTTACCAGCAGTTCAGTGTCTGCCAGCCCTCTATGCCAGTCCCTCCACTGGCTTCCACTCGCCCAAGGAATAAAATTCAAGATACGTACAGCAACCTATAAAGCCATCCACAACTCAGCCCCTAGATACATCACTAACCTGGTCTCAAAATACCAACCAAATCGTTCTCTTTGTTCCTCCCAAGACCTCCAGCTCTTTAGCTCCCTTGTCACCTCCTCCCATCCTCTAAAACTCCCTTCCACAATGTGTCTATCTCCATCTCTGTCCACTTTTAGACGATCCCTGAAAACTCCTCTCTCCAGAGAGGTCTATCCTGACCCCACCTAACAAATGTACATGTATTTTGTCCGTCAACCCAACACCCACAGTTATTACCTTTTTGTATCTCTCAACCCTCCCTCTTAGATTGTAACGAGCAGGGCCCTCTGAATCCTCATGTATTAATTTGTATTGTACTGTCTACGCTTATGTTGTAAAGCGCTGCGTAAACTGTTAGCACTATATAAATCCTGTGTAATAATAATAATACATAAAATTCAGTTTATAAAAGTGATTGCATAGGTTTTCTGCCCACTAAATTTTGCTTGATAAAAATGGACTTAAATATTGTTTGTCTGTCTTGTTTTGTGCACTGAACTTTTGAGGAGAAAATTAAAAAAAATAATCATTTTAACGACTTCCAGACCAAGCCATTTCTGGCACTTTTTGTTTACATGTAACCATCAGAATTTTTTGCTACAAAATTACTTAGAACCCCCAAACATTATATATTATGTTTGCAGTTTACCTAACTGACTCCAAGGTCATATGAGCTAAAACTGCTTACATAGTTTTATTTATTTTTTAGCCTCTCCCTCCCGTGTTAATAGAAGAAAAGAGCCCAAGCTTCACTTACCCTCTCAGAGCTCAACTGCTGTCCTGAGATTCTTCCTCTGTCCAGCACTGTCAGTTCTCTTCAGGCTGGACACACTTACATTATTTTGCGCATTTCCTGTACATCCAGCTTGTCTGTAACACGCTATCCTGGGGGAGCACCATCACACAGGCTGAGCTCTCAGAACTCCAGGACTAAGCGGCGCTCATGTGTCATTACATGGGTCAAAAAAAGCTGGTGTTTGGCTTTAATTCTGAAGCCTTCCAACTTTGGTTAAAGCTACTGATTTGCATTTTCCTCCATCCATTCCCATTTTCAGCAGTGTACATTTTTCTTTGTTCCATTTACCACCAGATATGTAATGAAATCTCTTTTCAATTATGGAGGAACATGTGACTTCGTGATGTGACAATGCTGGCCCAATCAGTGCTGTCACATGGGTAGCTCCTAGCACAGTGTAAGCTTTGATTCCAGCGACTCATAGCTTACATAAGGCTTTCCTTTAGTTCTTCGCAGCTGAATGACAGGAAGGGTCAGAGAAAGGAGGTCTGCAATTAAAGTGATTGTAAACCCTTACCTTGTAAAACAACCCATTCAGTTTAAAATAGAAATGAAAGGCAAAACATTTGTGTATAGATATAAAAAAAACATAAATACCTTTTTCCCTTTGTGAGTGATCACATAACCTCTGTTTTCAGCTGCATAAGAGCTGGTGGAGGAGAAACAGCATCACACTGATCTTCCCAGTGAAAGTGTGTGTGTGTGTGTGTGTGTGTGTGTGTGTGTGTGTGTGTGTGTGTGTGTGTACAAGTCTGCTTTCCCATCAGAGCTAGGAAACTGACCATGCTGTGCTTTCCGACTTAGTGTGCTCAGTTTTTATTAGGAAAGCAGAGGGTCTGACAGAAACACCAAGGATTTCACATAAATTAAGCAATACAAGGATAGGATCCTATTCCATACAAGTACATGGTACAGCAGACACACATCAGGAATATGAAATGTTGGGTTTACATATGCTTTAAGTGAACTTGTTGCTTTGCTCTATATGGGAACACTAAACCTTTAATAGGTAATATTTCATATTTAACATAAAAAAATATTTTATATGTCATTTTTGACTAAATGCTTTTACATTAGGGAAATCTTTATAAAAGCACTTTACATTCCTTTCAGTGTTTGAAACTGATTCCCCCAATAAAGGATCACAATGTTGTTTTCTCTTCTTTCAGCCCATCATTCCAATGTTTACACAAAATGTCCGGGAAGGATTCAGGTCTCTTGGATGTCTATGTAAGATCTAGTATTTTGGCATAATATTTATAGGGCAGTTTATATAGCCTATTGGCATGTAGTTGTGCTTGAATTGATATAAAATTAATTCTAGGAGAATAGTTGCTTTATTGCATCAGTAATAAATGTTCAAGCATGGAAAAATATATTACTTGTCCTTTCTCCAAGCATATTGCAAATCTCCTCTTCCTCCACTTGTATATACTGTGTGTACTTTTCTTTAATTTTTATAAAGTGTCATCATATTCCATAGTACTAAAATTCACAACAGTTTTTATCCCCAAAGGAGCACAAAACTACCCTGCTCACTAGGGCAGTGTAGTAGAAGCCTGCCAACCTGCCAGTATGTTTTTTATATTATTTTGGGAAAACCATACAAAACAATATGAAGAGCTTGTCCCAGGTGAGATTAGAACCAATAACGCAGCGTTTCAAGGCAAGAATACTAACTAGTAAGCCACACTACAGAGTTATGTATTTTTTATTAAGAAAGTTTTGTTTTTAAGAACATAACAAGCTCAAAATACGCCCTCGCAGGGGCAGAGCAGAACAATAACACATAAACAGACATCCTGCTGACTTGTATTAGTCAAATAACGAAATGTCCAATGACATCAAGAAGGGACAGCAAAAAGCCGAACCAAATAGCAGCAGTAATCCAACATAATATAAAAAAAAGAAGAGAAAAGAAAAAGAAAATAAAACAAAAGGGAATCAGAAAGGAAACATGAAAGAAGGGAAACTAGAAGGAATTACGGATCCAGGGCTAGCATAGGCAGCGACTATAGGAGGCCATAAACTAGTAAGAGGCAGGGATGGCAAGGAATAACGTATCCAAGGTTCTCAAATCTTAAGGAATCTCGGATACGAATTATGAAGAACGCTAGACATCTGTTCATTGAACAACATAGCATTCATCCGGCTCCTCACCCCCTGGAAGACAACCAAAGGGGTTCTCCAAGCTTGAGCTATAGCACGTTTGGCTGAAATAAATAGGTAGGATACCAATTTCTGCTGAAACCTAGACAGACCCAAAATTGGGCAATGCAGGAGGGCCACCTTTGCATCTCTACGGACCATAATATGAAATGGTGTTTTGTAGCAAACCAAAAACCCTAGACCAGAAGCCTATCAATCGTGGGCACAACCACCAAATCTGCAAGACGTCCCCGTGTAGACCACAGTTCTGGAAACACCTATATCCGCCAGTCGGATTAAAGTGAGCAGTCTGAGCCGGGACCCAGTACCACCACAGTAGAACTTTGTAGGCTGCCTCAAGAGTGACTGTATTGAATGAACATTTCGCCACCATTCCCCAAGCCCTACGCCAATCCTCCGCCGCAATCGAGACACCCAGATCTCGCTCCCATTGAGAGACATAAGATGGGTGGTGAGGAAGATCTACTGTTAAGGGAGGCATAAATTACAGAAATGAGACCAGGGGACCCTGGGGAATGCTGACAAGCGTGTTCAAAGTGCGTTTTGCGGTAAGGGTATAGAGGTATGACGAAGGGATAGGACCTAGTGGCGCAATCGCAAATACCGCAATTGCAAAAAAAATGGGTCTTTTGGTGTTGCTGAGCTCACTGGTGCGTTCCTTCTTTATAAGAATTTTCCAAACAGTTGTTTTGGCCACGCCTAATGTTTTTGCTATCTCTCTAATGGGTTTGTTTTGTTTTTTCAGCCTAATGATGGCTTGCTTCACTGATGGTGACAGCTCTTTGGATCTCATCTAGAGAGCTGACAGCAACAGATTCCAAATGCAAATAGCACACTTGAAATGAACTCTGGACCTTTTATCTGCTCATTGTAATTGGGATAATGAAGGAATAACACACACCTGGCCATGGAACAGCCGAGAAGCCAATTGTCCCATTACTTTTGGTCCCTTAACAAGTGGGAGGCACATATGCAAACTGTTGGAATTCCTACACCGTTCACCTGATTTGGATGTAAATACCCTCAAATTAAAGCTGACAGTCTGCAGTTAAAGCACATCTTGTTTGTTTCATTTCAAATCCATTGTGGTGGTGTATAGAGCCAAAAATGTTAGAATTGTGTTGATGTCCCAATATTTATGGACCTGACTGTATAAAACATATGTCCGGCCCAACGTAATGCCTTCTCAGCTCGTGTAGTGGAGAGAAGATCAAGTGCAGCAGCCACCACATCTCAAGCTTTCCTTTTGGCCGTAGTCGGGCAGGCTTTCCAATTAGCGTCTACCACGGCCAATCTCGAGGTCAATTCCAACATCCTCTTCTCTCTGGCCGTTTTCTGGACGAGGCTATTTGAATAAAATGACCCTTAATGGTGGCTTTGTGAGCCTCCCACATAGAAACAGCAGAGGATACAGAACCCACATTGTCCATAAAATAGGATTGAATGTGCAAAAGAACCTGGGAGCAAGAAGCCTGAGTGGTGAGCAGGGATTCATTGAGTAAAAAGAAAAGAAGGCTGAGTAATACCAGAAAGACACAGTGAATAGACCAATGGGTCATGATCAGACTAGTGTGAGGTCGAGATGACAATCTTTTGAATTAAAGATAAATGTTGGAAGGAAATGAAAACATGATCTATTCTACAAAAGCTCAAGTGTGGGGCCTAATAAAAAGTGTATTCCCGCGCGTAGGATGCATTTCCTCCCAGACATCAGCCAAACCATAAGCTTGCAGTGTCGCACGCAATTTAGATTCCTGAGAAAGGTCGTGGCTAGGGGTCCCTCCCGTTGGTTAATGGCGATCGACAGGAATTAAGAGCAACATTCGAATCACCCAGCAATAAGAGGATACCATGTTGGTGGAGCGAAATCACCTTCAAGTGAGAAAAAAATTTGTGTTGAAATCTATTTGGCGTGTAATAACCCACCAGGGTCACCTCCTGGTCCCAAAGGGTACACCGGAGGAGCAAATACCTACCGGTGGGATCAGCTATTTCCAGGTTGCAAGTAAACAGCAGATTGCATCTAAAAGCAATCACCACGGCCCTATGCTTCTCAAGGGCCGAAGCAGAGAAAAAGGTCGGATAATGGTGGGAGAGGTAGCACGGCATGGAGGATTAAGAAAACATTGTCTCCTGCAGGCAGACTACGTCCACGTCTTGGTACTTAAGATGATGGAACACTTTAGAAGGCTTGGTCGGAGAATTAAAACCATGGATATTTTGAGAAAAAAATCTTCAAAGGTTTTAAAGCCATATTGAGTCAAGGGAATTCAGCTGCCAAAGTACGCTAGGAATAACGGCCCAATCCTAATGCAACCTTACCCTGGGCTTCCCCGGATCCATGAGAAAAGAGGAAAAAAAAAAAGGCAAGAAACAAGAGACAGAAGAAGAAAACGTACACTTTAAGGTAGTGTAACGAAACCACAATCAGTGGAAATTGCGTCCCAACCGTAAGGACACACATAGGGGGTGGCTCTACCACTGGGCACATGGGTGCGTCATAAACAACATAATACAAAAAGAACCTTCATGGGGAGGGGAAGAAAGGGGGAAAAGGAAGAAAAAGGGGGGGGGGGAACAAAACAGGCCAAAAGACAACGTCAAGTACATTACCTTAATAATACATAATATGACACCATAATATATAAAGAAAATGGAAACAGTTACACTGACATATCAACAAAATAGAAATGAGGCATTCCCGGGTCATGGCCCCGTTCGATCGGAAGCTGGCACCAATATAAGGCATTGGACCATGAGCCAGGGAGGCCCCCAGTATTCATAAAGAGGTACAATAACACCCAAAAAAAAAACCCCAAGGAGCCGGCGGCATCCACATAATCAAAATCCAAGTATAACAAAAAAATTAGCAGATAAAAAAAAAATTAAAAATTCAGCTCAAAATAGACCAACAAGGGCCAGTCAAGGTCTCCGCCCCATCAGAAATGCGGAGAGTCACGGCAGTGGATCAAGCCATCTGAAAAGTGAAAAATCTTACCCATCCAACCGTACTCAACCTGGATCGGAGCGGGAAGATCCGGACAACGGAGGGGTACTAGGGAGCGTTTACGGCTACCAACGTTCTCCCATATATGCCCCATCTGAGATGGAGGATGGGAACCAGAGGGCCGCACTGGGCTGTCGGAGGTATCCCGCGAGGGCAGAAGGTGTAGCACCTCCAGGGTCGTCTTGGCCTCTTCCAGATTGTGGACAACATGGCTCCGACCTTGGTACGTGAATGTAAGCTTAAATGGAAAGCCCCATTGGTACTTGAAGTGAAGGTTCAAGAAGACTGACCTGAAGGGTTTCATCTGTCGGCGTTTCTGTATGGTGGATGGTGCCAGATCCGCGAACAGCTGGTACAGGGGCCTTGAAAGCGAAGATCCTGCTTGTCTCGCGCAGAGCGAAGGAGCGATTCTTTCGTACGTTAATAGGTGAATTTAATTATGATGTCTCTGGGAGGACCCTCAGACCTCCTCGGACCCAGGGCCCGATGAATACGATCGAACTCCAGATGGTCTATCGGTATCGCCGGATCCAACTCTTGAAAAAGCGCGGTAGCAGTGGACTTGAGGTCAACAATGGCTTCGGGCAGGCCATGTAGGCGAAGATTACCCCGACTTGACTTTATTCTCAGAATCTTCCAGGAGCAAGAGAACCGCGTCAAGCTCTCTTCTCAGATCTGAAAGGTCCTGTTCATTTTCGATCACCGTAGCCACGGCGTCCATCTTATCTTCAAGAACATCAGTGCGGCTTCCCAATTCACGAATTTCCTTGGTGAGATGATTCGCTAGTCTGGAGGTAGCGGTGTGAAGCTCCTGCTGCAGCATGGTCTTAAACCTGGCCAGGAGGTCCTCATCACGCAAGGGGGGCTGTGGGAGGTCTGCGGCCCTCAAGAGGGGGCTGTGGATGGTCTGCGGCCCGCAAGGAGGCCTGTGGGTGGTCTGCGGCCCGCAATGAGGCCTGTGGGTGGTCTGCGGCCCGCAAGGAGGCCTGTGGGAGGTCTGCAGGGATGTCAGGCAGGCTCTCCATGTCCGAGAAAGCGTCTGGGCAGCCCGAGGGTAGCGGCAGGGATGCGGCCAGAATCTAGGCTGGGGCTTCTGCCGACGCAGCTGAGGAGCGCGGAGGTCAGGCGGCCATTCCCTGCGCTGCTCACGAGTCCCTCCCCCAGAGTTTTATGTATTTTGTTAGTTTTACTGATTTTTTTAAAACAAGCTCTTATACAACAAAACAGAGTAGTGATTTGATTCAGGATCATGTACTCACAGTGGGGATGATTTACTAAAGGCAAATAGACGTGCACTTGCACTCATTTTTTATTGGTAAATGTAAAGTGGTAAAGCTTCACTCTGTAAAGAATAGGCAATCAAGTGCAAGGAAAATATAAAAAAAAAAAAAAAAAAAAAAAAAGCATTTTGCTTGCACATGATTGGATGATGGAAATTGGCAAAACCTTTACAACATTTACTAAGCTCTGGGGAACATGGCACAGTCTATTTGCATTTGCTAAATCAACCTCAGTGACTTCTAAGGAGGAATAAATGCAAAACATGAACTGATCTAAATTTTACATGAAACTTCGTGTGCACTAGCCGTAGCTGCTAGAAATTTCTCCATGCTTTCCATAGTTCCTCCAGGGTGGAACTGACTGTTGTAAAGGAGGATTTCAGCAATTTATAAAGTTTTTTTTTTTTTTTTTTTTTTTTTTTTTTTTTTTTTTTTTTTTGATACTCTTTACTAAAAATGTTGCCATTCATATATATATTACCCCAAACCAAGGCTAATCCATTATTTTCAGTGGAGAATGGCTTGAATGTTCTCCTAGCCCCCTAAATTGAGCCATTATACACAAGAATCTTGTATACTTTAATATACTGTAGATTCTTCATTATTGCAGACGTTAATGTGGTTTATTTTCTTCTTTACCAGCAATTTTTCGATGGATATATGAGAAATTTAAAGTTCCACTAGTTCCTATTTATGGTGGTTTTCCAGTGAAATTTCGCACTTATCTTGGTGATCCCATCAACTATGATCCCAGTATAACAGCCAGTGAACTGGCTGAGAAGGTAAGAATTTGTTGAGCTTGTTATACAAGACATTCCACAGGAGATTATACCTCTACAAAGCTGCACCATCTAAAGCTATTTAGTTTCCTTCCACACATCTGCTGCCTTTTATATTGCATTTTATGTTTATCTGGTTTTAATGTACAGTGCAAATGGTTTAATAAGCTGAAAAAAAACATCATGAGGCATGCTGTCTGTGTGTAGAAGATAATTTATAGCTTCACCCAGTTTATTCAAGAGGAAGCAATTGTTCTTTTACCAGGTATACACCATGAATATACAGTAGGTCTTTCATAAGCGTTGTTAGTTTTATAAGGAATGTTGGCAGTGTGCATCAACACATGAAAAGGGCACCATCAAAGCTGCATGCCGTCATTTTTTTCACATCTGTGATCATGAGCATTGGCACAAGTATCTGTCACAGGGGCTGATTGGTTAGTGACCGTATTCAAATATCCTCACTATTCCTGTTCTGGGGAAAACCCAAAGTTTGGTGATAATGGTAAACAGGACAATTAGAGAGGGTGGATCTCCCTAACAGAGGCACAGGCAGCATTGAAACCTGACAGGTATTCTAATCCTCTCCACTCTATACAAAAAAAAAAAAAAAAAAAAGTTTTCCTTTAGTTACACTTGAAGTCTTGGTGGACTTCTGTGCATTTTATCACACACAACTTTAAACAATTCCAGGTATCCCTTATGGTGACACTGCCATTCTTGAAATCCTGCCCTTTTATTGCAGCTAAATTGTTGTTTAGTACATTTTACTTGATTGATCTAGGATGTGAACTGTGTCTTGTTGTGTTCTCCTTGTACTCCTTTTGGAGAGTATAGCAGGGGCTGGTGACAGCATCATTTTGCAAATAGCAAAGAAACAAATGTACGGCGTATCTCCACCTGAGAAGTGTCATGAGTTCTGTAGCGAATGGTATGTAAAACTACAAAAAAAATTTTAGTTGGACATACAGTACCTTTTTAATAAAAGCAAAAGTGTTATATGGGTTAAAGTGCATTTCCATTTTTGCAGCCAAATTGTAATACCTACTTTATATTTGCTACATGCCTCCATTCACGTAGCATAACTTAAATTAAAAAAAAAAAAATACATTTTGCAGCTCACCTTTTTTAGATGCTTATTCTGGACTCTGACAAGGAAAAATCCTAGGTAGTTTACTTTGTTTATGAAGGGGCTGGGCATTTGTGTTTTCTATAACTAATCTCATCACTTTTGTGCAGATAGGTCTTCATTATCAGTTGCTGCTAGATTTGAACACTGTCTCTCCCAACAAAGGGTTAAAGGGTGTAGCAGTTGGGTGTCTTGCATTGTAAGTTAATGGGGGTAAACCTGGGACAGGCTTACTGTAACATTGTTCCAAAAACCTTGCAGTCAACCATGGCACCTTCTTGAGAGAAACATCTAAAAGGTACGAAATACTGCAAAAAAAAAAGTTTAGGCTTGCTGTGTGAATGGGAACACATAACAAACATACAGTATATAGTGGGGTTTTCTCAAATTTGATTGCAAAAGTGGAAATAAGCTTTAAAGAGTAACTCCATTTTCGTGGGCAAAAATAAATTGGCAAATAAAAAAATATCTAGCATATACAGTTGCGACTCAAGTCATATTGTAATTGAATTCTATTTAAAAATTACCTTTCCTATTCAGCTTGCAGCACTGTAATTTTCTGTAAAATGCAATGCAATATGGCTACCTGGAGGCATTCTGTACACAGTGTAGAGAACGCTCTCTAAAAATGTCATTTTCTACTTGAGTGATTGGCTCACTGATTTTCTCTGAAGTCTACACTAAGATACAAGTCAGATTTTTGGCATCCCCTGCAACAAAAATGTCATTTTTGATGAGATACTCCCAAAAGGAAATTATATCTAAAGGGATGCAGACCTTGCCAATTTCCTCATTGGAGCCCTGCAGGTGCAGCAGCTGATTGATAATTCTAAAACCACTCCTATACAGATTCACTCTTTAGATGGACACAGACAAACAACCGTTATTTCTTCAGAATAACAAAAGGTAGGAATCTGAAACAAAGTTTGATAAAATCCTTTGCAATGTACATAGACCACCCAAAGGGGAAACTTCTCCCCGTACTATTGTCACAGAGAGTGGGGGGATTGGGCAGCGACTGCAGCATTGGGAACATGTTACATGACCCTAAAACAGGTGGAATATGTAACATGTTCCCAAAGGTAAACTTATCTTTTAAGGTAGATCTAAATTTAAGTTACTAAAAATCTCATATAACCTTCAACAAGCTAACTTCAAAAATAATTTCCAATCCCTTTAAATCTGCAGCTTTTCTTAGAATAGCACTTGGTGATCCTGCCATAAAGGTCCTGTTATAGGGTGACCACATCCTGTCACTGTGTCCACATTAATTTCATGCAATGTCAGCTTGTCACATGTGTTTCCATTGGAGACTACTGTATAAGCAGCCTTGCCAATGCTCATGTCGCAGGCATGGTCTGTTATTGACATTCAGCTGCCAAAGGAGTCAGTGCATGTTTGCAGATAGGAATAGACTGCAAAGAGGCAACAGGAAAGCAGTAGCAGTGAGATGAAAAAAGGGTGAAAAAGGTATAAACGGATTTCTCCAGAAGTTGATTATGATATTTAGAACTTTAGCTAACTGAATGTCATTCATTTAAGGTTTACATTTACTTTAACCATATGGCAATATGTGTTCTTTGTATACAGTGTAATAAACATGGCATTTGTGCTTACTAGTAAACCTTTGTCTTTCTTTCAGACAAAATATGGCCTTCAGTTACTCATAGACAAGCACCAAAAAATCCCTGGAAATATTTTTCGTGCCCTGCTGGAAAGGTTTCACAGCAGAAAGAAAGAAGATTAAAGTGCAATTTGTACTTAGACCTTCAGAAGCACAGTGATGTCTTTTTATAGATTTTACTTTGAATAATATTTTTTTTTTCTATGGACATTTTTAGTGATTACTGAAACAAAACATTTTTTATGTAACGCAAACATGGAATGATACTTATCTTCAAGATTTCTTGAAATGTTTTATCAGGTTTCTTAGAAGTTGAGTCATTGCAGTATTCTGTTCCTTCTAGGTTGAAAATGTGTATCATATGTACAGACAATAAAATCAGTCCAGCTTAGGGTTCATGTACACTACTCCTGATAAACTCACATTTAGGAGCTTTTCTGCGTTTTTTTTTTTTTTTCCAGCAGCCCCTGAATTCTCCCTAATGTTTTCCTGTGTGTCCATGTACACATAGTCGTTTACAGGCAGTTGAGTTTACAGTAGTTTTTTTGAACGCACCAAACTTGCGTTCAGGAGTAGATTTTATTAGCTTTTCAAACGCCAAATGCTTGTAAACGTGGCTAACTGTGTTTATAAGCGCTTGTGTTTAGAAGCGTTTTTTAACTGCTCCATATCCAGATGCTGTCCAGAGCCTTTTTTCATCATCAGAAATGCATGCAAAGTGTTTTCCATGTATTCAAACGGACCCAGTACACCAGCACAGTCAGCTCCAGGTTTTGCGTGAAGGAAAAATTAGTAGAACGTGCCGTATTATGCTCATGATGGGATCCATAGTGAATACAACCAGAAAAGACAGGTCATCTTAACACATACTCCTCTCTTTGCTTATCTCAAAATGTCTGAAATAGTTAATTTTTTACAGTTTTTTCAGTGCATTCTGGGCATTTTGGAAGGTCTTCTGAAGGTTATCTTAAAAAAAACCCTTCTAAATGCAAACGCGCATAAACGTATGCAAACGTGGCTAAACAAACGCTTTTTAACCTACGTTTTCCAGCAGTCAGTTTCCATCGTTCAGAAGAGTTTTCCAAACGTCCCGTGTACATGAGCCCTTATTGTGGAATGAAGGGTTAGTCCATGCTTACAATTAAACCTGCCCAAGAAGATGATAAATCCTTGTGGTGAAAATTTTAACACTCAAAACTCCCGTCTGTAGGCCAGCCACACCTCCTGCAATGCCCGATCATAAAAGTTGCAGTCCGTGTACTTGCATTGTCCTATAATTAAACTAGATCAGACACAACATTGAGGGGTGAAAACAAATGTTGTAATCCCGTCACATATGTGCTCATCCAGTTGTGGTGTTTAGCCATCGCATTGAATTGTGATACATTTTGGATCATCACTAAGTATTGAACTACAGGGATCGAACCGCATGATGTGCAGTTCAGTGCGTGTACGAACCCAGGAATGCAACTGTGGGTTGCATCTTTTAAAGGTGTCTGAAACACCGCATAATGAAATGGAGGGGTAAACATGTTTTGAAGATAAATGAGTTTGCACATTTTGATTGGCATCTATTTTAGGTGTGCTTGCTAATGAAATTTATTGTAACGTGACAAAGTTCAACTAACGCCTAAAATTGTCCACATACATAATATACACGTACGCTATAACAGAAAAGCAATAAATAACTTATACACCAGACATTCTCATCTAGGGTTCTTCAAGAGGTTGCTAGGGGTTCCTTGAGCTGTGGCTGACTGACCTCCCATTAGATAGTGTCTCCATAGTTCCAGGGCCAACAACGATTAGGAGAGCCAGCTGCATGACACCAATCATGTTTTTAGATATCTGTTAGGATATAATTGTTGACCACCATTGCATGGCAGGTAGCAGGTATTCTTCCCACTGACCACCATTGCAAGGGACATTTTATTTTTTTTTTTACTGACCCTAAGTAAGAGCCCAAGTACACCCCTTACAGCTCTAAGAGTCAATCGGGTGTGCTGCACGCAAAGTTATTGACAAGGAACATGCTGACAGTTAGAGGAGAAGAATGAGTTAATTGGTATGCAGTTGCTCTTTTCTCTTTACTTATGGGCTACAGGCAGAAATACAACCTAGCTGGATTTCTTATATGCAGTAGAGAAAAGGTCACTAGCCTAAATGTGGTGTCCAGCACGTCGTTTTAAATTTCAGGGCAGGATGGACTGAAATACAGATTCTTTAGCAGCATAAACAGCAGTAATGTAAATACTTCAGCTGTGGATTTATCTAGTTGACTGGATCTCAGCCTTAAATACAGGCATTAATAGAAACTTAGGGGAAGTTTTGATCATCTTTTCATTTTAAAGTAAAAAAGTTTGAGCTGGAGTTCCACTTTATCTCCCAAGTGATAACAGGCACTTTTAAAGCAGCACATAGATTATGCAATTTTCCTTCCTTCCACCCCTTTCTGCCTCCTAAACATTCCTATTGTCGGTGAGGCAGCCCTATTTAGTAGTGAGCCAACAGAAATGACTGTTAGGTAGCACCGAGAAAGGGCAGAAAAATCCAGGATTTGGCATTAACGGTAAGGTTTTGGAGGCTGGTGTAGCTATGTACAGGTACCACCAGTTGGTGTTTGTACTGACAAGATATCTTTATTATATTTTTAAATAAGTAGAAACTGTAGTCAAGAGTTCTTCTATATTTGTGACTGTTATTGTAGCTTTTTTTTATATGCTGAACCTTGTGTGTTTAGGTTTTTATGGTCTCTGAAAAAAAAAAAAAAAATCTACAGTGGATAGAACCACCATGTGCTTGTGGCAGAACTATTATTGATTTAAATAAATTGTGATTTTTTTTTTTTTTTTTTTCTATTATTAACAATGTCTTGAAAAGGGCTGCAATATGTCAGTATGGGGTTTATTTACTAAAGCTGGAGAGTGCAAAATCAGGCTCACTTCTGCATAGACACCAATCCGCTTCAAACCTCAGCCTGTTCATTTAAGCTTTACCAATACAAACCTGGAAGCTGATTGGTTTCTATGCAGAACTGAGCCTAATTTTGCACTCTGCAGATCACTATGAACTGTTATGAGGTCTTTTGGTTAAAGTGTTCCTCTAGGAACTATCCTTGCCATTATCCGGCCCTTGGGGCACTGTTTCTCCCACTGATACAAGTCACTATACCTCCTACTGATACCAACAGTGGGGCACTCTTTCTCCCACTGACACCAACAATGGGCAGTCCTCCTCCCACCAACAATGGTGCACGATTTGTCCCACTGATAGGAGGCACTATTTCTCAAACTGACACCAGTGATTTGAATATTTTCTCCCACAGACACCAGTGATGGGTCCCTATTCCTCCCAATGATACCAACAATGGAGCATTATTCCTCCCCCTGACACCAATGATGGAACATTGGTTGCATCTACTGACACCAGGCCATTTTCTATTCCCACTGAGAAAAGTCCAGTCCCCTAAAGTCTGAAGGACAGTTTTTATTTATGTAGTTTTGGAGTCCGCATTGGGGAGATTACGCTCTTTATTTTTACTGGTACCCTATGTCACTGAGAAAGTGAGGGGGGTTCCAACATTTTAGAATTGTCTCCAAAACAAAAGGCAAGGAAAATCTTCCTTTGGAGACACCTGTTCTGGGGACAGCTGTCTAATTTCCTGTTGTGTCTCTGGGGAAAGAAGTGAAATTTGCCCAATGGTACACAGACATGAAAGAATATATACTTGCATGTCTTCTATTCAGGTAGACACAGGATCACAAAACAATATAGTAACTACTGCTGCATAAACGACAGGATGCCAAACTTGGTTTAAATGGTTTTGTTATGACAGTTCATGCTCAGTGTACTAAATGGTATCCTCTATCTTATCCTGTCACGGTGGTGCAGTGTTTCATACTGTGAAGAAAGCTCAAAATTCTTCTAATAGCTTTTATTTCCATACACACAAATGCATTTGGAACACTACACATGCTATTCCAAATCAAAAACATGAAGAAAAATATATCAGAAATTGTGTTGCTCCTCTAAAAAAAAATTGAAGAAAAGTGAATATTAGACTGTTCAAAAAAAATATCAGTGTTTTTGTATTCTTCTTTACAAACTCAAACATTCACTATATAAACTGAAAAATGATTGAAGATTTTGCTTTCCTTTGAATCACTTCATTAATATTTGTTGTATAAGCACTGTTTCTGAGAACTGCTGTACATCTGTGTTGCATGGAGTCAACCAACGTCTGGCACCTGTGAACAGGTATTCCAGCCCAGGATGATTGGACTACATTCCACAGTTCTTCTCTATTTCTTGGTTTTGCCTCAGAAACTGCATTTTTGATGTCACTCCACAAGTTTTCTATTGGATTAAGATCTGGGGATTGGACTGGCCACTCCATAACGTCAATCTTGTTGGTCTGGAACCAAGATGTTTCACGTTTACTGGTGTGTTTGGGGTCGTCTTGTTGGAACACCCATTTCAAGGGCATTTCCTCTTCAGCATAAGGCAGCATGACCTCTTCAAGTATTCTGATGTATTCAAACTGATCCATGATCCCTGGTATGCGATAAATAGGCCCAACACCGTAGTATGAGAAACATCCCCATATCATGATGCTTGTGCAACCATGCTTCATTGTCTTCACAGTGTACTGTGGCTTGAATTCAGTGTTTGGGGGTCGTCTGACAAACTGTCTCCGGCCACTAGACCCAAAAAGAACAATCTTACTTTCGTCAGTCCACAAAATGTTGCGCCATTTCTCTTTAGGCCAGTCAATGTGCTCTTTGGCAGATTGTAACCTCTTCAGCACATGTCTTTTTTTTCAACAGTGGGACTTTGCGGGGGCTTCTTGCAGATAGCTTGGCTTCACATAGGCGTCTTCTCATTGTAACAGTACTCACAGGTAACTTTAGACCTTCTTTGATCTTCCTGAAGCTGATTGTTGGCTGAGTCCTTGCCATTTTGGCTATTGTTCTATCCATTCAAATGGTAGTTTTTTTCGCATTCTTCCATGTCTTTCAGGTTTTGGTTGCCATTTTAAAGCATTTGTGATCATTTTAGCTGAGCAGCCTATCATTTTCTGCATGTCTTTTATATGTTTTCCCCTCTCCAATCAACTTTTTAAT